ACACATACACACACACATACACACACACACACACACACCCACACACACACATATAGATATACATTTTTTCGCTTAATTAAAATAACAACGAAAACAAAATGACTTCATTGGAATTGTCAGATAATCGTCGTTTACCAACAAACACGACTAACAAAGGTTTCAATCATTATAAATTTAGTGAACAACTAAACGGTAAGAAATACTTTTTCTGACTCATATGATTTTCTTTTTACTCAACAGCAGTTGAATGACTGTTTAAACCCGAAAAGAGATTTTCTCCTTTACAATATAATCTATACTCCAAATGTATTTTATCAATTTTTTGAATATCAATATGTGTCTTCTGTATTATTTAATGTAGTTTTTACAGTATTTGTGGAGTAAAATATATTTTAGTTTTTATTATCTTCTTAAAATTAATTGATTTCTTTCATTTTTTATTGAGATCGAAATAATTCCTCATTATTATCATCAACAATACCAAATATTCAGAATCATGATTTATCACGTGCATTGCGTATTGATGCCTATTTATTGGCTGTTTTTGTTCGTACAGATGATAAACAAAGTATAAAAAAAAATTTATCAAAACAAAAACAAGTGACTTTATTTAAAATATTCTTTTATTGATAATTTAGGTACATTTTATTCTGCTGATATTGTTACAAAATTACGTCAAAAAGAACAAACACAGAGTTTTATTAATAAACCCTGTTCGTTATTCATAACGGATCGATATTTAGTAATTTATGATAAATTAACCAATGTAAGTGAATTCATTTTAATTATTTAATATTTGAGTGATTCATTTTTTTTTTTATCAATTTTTAGACTATTGCTGAATCAATTCAATTAGAAGATGTTGATCCAACATGTGTTCATGCTGAAGTACCTGACACATTAAATGACATATTTATGTTTCGACAAACAGATGGAACAAATAGTCCTCAGTCGACTGTTGTCGTTTTCAAATGTAATAACAATGAAGTAAGTGAAAATCGAATATGAACATTTTTCTTGTTCACACTTATAAACATTCATTTTTAGGCTAGAACTCTCGTTGATAGTATCAGAAATGCGACTGGAAAACCACTTAAGAATAAAGGGTAAATTTTTGAACTTGTTTCTTTTAGAACACACTTCATTGCCAATTTTTTCGTTTAATTTAATAGTCGAGTGGGTCCACCAACGGTTGAGCGTCGTTTTACTGATTATAACGGAAGTGGTACTTTTATAGATCATACCTTGTCATCAACGATAGAAAAACCACGTTATCCACCAGCTTCATATACAGGTATGGTTAAATATTATAATATTCTAGCATTGAAACTGTAGTTAACGACAAATATTTGTATGACAGTAATTTATGTTCTCATTTTATTGTAGCTGACGTATACGTGCATGGATCTCAATATAAGCCTTCTTCTAATGAAGAAAATGTTATGTTAACAACAGCAAGATCATCTAATACTTCAACTATGGTTGCAGTCGATTATTATAAACGTTTAACAGAAGAATTAAATAAATGTTTTGATGATATTGAATTATTTGTACGATATTTAGAAGCATTATTCGAATATACAAAAGAATTAGACAGAGATCGACGAAAAGATAGAAAAACGATAGGTAAGTTGTCCAGTTACTACGCATATACAATCTAAATCTGTAAACAATATGTGTATTATTTTTTTTAGCTGGTCTCAAACAAATGATTGAAAAGATTCCAGATGATCGTTATTTTATTGATATATTACAAAAATTTAAACATTCTATTAATTTATTGGGTGAATTAAAACATGTCATTCATAATCCAAATGCACCGGAATTAATACATTATCTATTATCACCATTACAATTTATTTTATATACGTTACGTAACAAACATCCTAAGCAATTACAATTAGCCAGAGATATATGGAGTCCACCAATGAATAAAGAAGCAAGAGAATTACTATTAAATTGTTTAACATCAAAGGAACATGAAATATTAAGAAATTTAGGACCAGCTTGGATTAGAACAGCGTAAGTTTAATTACACATTTTCATTGCTCTTTTCTATTGATAGACAATTCAGCCATTTTAAATCTTGAGATCTTGTTTGTCCGACGAATAGGATTTTATTCGTTATTAGGACATAAGGATTTTATTCCCTAATGGTCAAGATTTTAGTTTAACGATTTATTACTGTTTGTAAATATACTCAAAAATTCTTTAGGAACGTTCGTGACATATATAGATAACCCATTGAATTTAGACTATTCATCTTATCTTTTATTATTCGTAAAAATGTACAGCAAGAGGTTGATAGTTTTCATGTTTGATTTTATCAAATACCTAAATATTAGATAATATTTATTTTAGTTGTGTTAAGTTTTTAATAGATAATATTTCAAAATATGTTTTCCCTTTTCAGCGAAGATAATCTACAAAAAGTTGCCGATTATCGTCCAGTATTTTTCGAAGGTCGAGCAGTATGGGTTCAAGATACACCATTTGATCAACCATCTCAACAATCTTCACGTAATGAAAGAGGTCATAATCACATAATCCAACATCCATTTAATTATTTCGATGAAAGACCAACAGCATGGTCAACAAATATACCTAGTAGTCGAGTAAGTTTCACATAAATATCGTCTACTTTTTAAATATTTACTTAGAATATATTTCATTATTCTAGTCACAACCAAGTATTTTAATACGTCAACCAACATTACCCAGCGATGTCAATCAGTCAAATTTCAATCGTGTAAATCATAATAACGGCGCTTCGTCTCAAAAATTAATTCTTCAACAAAATTCATCGTACATACGTCCAGATGTTGACAATAGTCAACTACTACCATTTCCTCAACCGTTACCGTCACCGAATTTATCAAATGTTAATTCACTATCTCAACAACAATTACAAGGAA